TAGATGTTTAGGAGAGAGTACTTCTTGTCGTTTAGTTTACATATTAAAAAAAAGGAATCTTCCCTTTTTATCTGCTAGTTTATATATCTCTTCCTATTTTACTGCCTTTGAAACCATTATGGCTACCCCTCTCTTTTTCACTTTTTGCATGGATGAATGTTCCAAAATCGGATGATTTTTATTTCTTAATCTTATAGCATCCATATCCTTACAGTGTGTTTCCTGTAAACAACATATGTCAATGTTGTTTCTCCTCAGCCATTCTGTCAGTGCTAACCGTTTTTGTGGAAAGTTAATACCCTGAATATTGAGTGTCATAAATTTCAGTCCTACTTTAGTCATGTCTGGTCTTTTAAAAGACTATAATATTTTAGGTCTCCATGCCAAGAAAAACAATTAACATAACAACCATAACAAAAATTATAAACATTCAACATATAAAAGTGGCTTACCACTAAAAATTCAAAATCTCCCTGTACAGAGAGATTCATACTCCTATCTGTGTATTAATGTTTGAATTTCGAGCGAGTAGTACGGGAGATATAATCTATTTTTAACCATGATAAGCAATTATCTCATTTCTTACTGTTGTCTATCTTTTAAGAATTGTAGTTGTGACGAGACCAATCTCGGCCACATTGCATTGGAGAATAGTAAATAAGAGGAGTGAGACAGCGCTAAATAACTATAGGCAGCAACCTTAAAAAGGGAATCCCTCAGACCCTTATAAAACAAGATAAAACAAAAACAATAAAAGGCTGCGTATAAAACAAGATAAAACAAAAAAAATAAAAGGCTGCGTTGCATTGCATTGGAGAAGCCTGGTTGCTCACCTGTTGCCTTTGGATTATGGCCCCATGTTAAAAGGCGTGATTTTCCCCTGCAAAGACATGAAAGCCGGGTCATTTGGTTCTTGCCTTGTTTGATCGGTGATACCCCAGATAGCTATGCCATGGAGCCCATTTGTATAATGAAAGACAATGGGAAAGACTTTGGCTCTATGGCAATTGAACTGTATGTGTGTGCTCTGAGCGCCATTCAATAATAATGTGCGCTCAGATTTGAGCTATCTGGGGATATGTTGAATGTACCTGTTTTGTGCAATGGCTGCACAGTTATATGTTTTTATGTATTTTATTGTCTTTTGCTGCCATGTGTTCAATGGAGTTTTGCCTCTGTCCTTGGAGATAATTGGATTACTTCCCAATTATCTCCAGGATAGAAGACTCTGTGGAACTGGTTTTGGGCAGAAAAGCCATGCTTCCTTTGGTCATAAAGGACTACGATCTATCTTTTGAACCACTGGACCAATTTGTATGATTTTAACATATGTTTGTATTTGGAGTATGCTGATTCTGAAAATTTTATGTGAATGCGATGCATACTTTTCAAGTTATGAATAATGTGGAAAAATTGTATTTCTCTGCTTGTTATAATTACATTACCCATTGTGTAAGGTAATTGAATCACAGGCAGAGGGGAGGATTTTGTGTGGGAGTGTCTGAGTGTATTGTATGTGTTTATTGGTTGTGTTCCAAAACCCTGTGAGTGGTACTAATGTGTAAGAATGTGAACATAAGAACAATAAACCCACAGCTCTGTTTGTTCACTGCTTGACCCTCAACATGGAGCTTTGTCTTGTTCTTGGGGGGATTTACTGTATGCTGTTCCAGTTTGACTGCTAGGAGTGTAAACCTATTCGTATGGTTTTTCCTATTCGGCTGTTTACAGCATTCGTATGGTTTCCTGTTCGGCGAATTGGTGTTCTGCAGTAGCTGTGCCTGTGTCTCTGGAAGGGAAGATCTACTAAACGGCGGTTTAACCCTTTTATGCCTGATGGTGCCGTTACAGTAGTTATATAAGTTTTCTTTAATAAATTATATTAAGTAGTGTGATTCCTTTTAAGTGATTGTTTTTTTACTATAAACTTGATAATCATTTTTAGTTCTCCACCACGTAATCGTTCCTTTTTTGCTTTTAGAAGCTAATATTAATATTTCTTATAATAATGTACACAGCCAGGGAATTAAGTACGATCTTTATATATTAGGTGAAATTTCTAACCTGTGTGAACAGGTACTGTGCAACACTGGTTTAGGACAAACTGATACTTGCTAGCCTACTACCATATGAAGAGAAGGGACACATAAAGGTAATGGTTTAGGCATCTCTCAGTTTTATAAAACATGAAGTAGTATAGGTTTTTGGTAAGCTCCTTGGGGGCCCTTTGTCCATTCACTATTTATTACCCACTTACATTTATGGTGATTGGATGATTGAGAATAGTCATTGAATCAGCACCTGCTTGGTATGTAATTCAACACGCACACATACACACACTGTTAAAGAGGGGGCATTCATCAGCCTATATTGTTACAAGGAAATCCCAGATGCTTTTACTCTGTTTATTTTAATTCAATTGATCGTCCTGTTTTCTTACCAGGATCCAGGAGTAATTCTGAACTTGCTGTCAATCAGCCTAAGGAATCCTCAGCCCCAGTAGGTGGCTCAGCCCCAGTAGGTGGCTCAGCCACCATTACCTGCTCATACAATACTCCTATAAATGAAACACCCATGGATTCTGTGATTTACTGGAGAGATGGAAGTCCTGATGGACCTATAGCATACCACCCCTCTAAATGGATGGTTCATCCCACTTACAGAGGAAGGACAAATGTGACACAGCAAGCAGATTTACAGATAATGGGGGTACAAGACACAGACAGCTCTGTGTATTACTGCTTCGTCACACTCAAATTGTATAGTGGAGATCAGAATATCACAGCTGTAATCAGCAATGTAAATGGAACCAAACTGAATGTAATAGGTAAGGTCAGAAAACACCCTTTGCCCATTGTTATGCAAGCTATCTATACATTTTTCTATGTACAGCTGTATACAAAATTGCTCACCTAAACCAATTAACATATTTTGATGATTTTCTAAGTGACAAGCATTTATCACAACCTCTATCAAATGAAACTTAATATATTTCTTCACATTTTAATGCAAACGTATTATTTGTTCAATGTAACTGATTGAAACAAATAGGACAGTAAATGTTTCACACTTGCACTCTCTCTTCCTGCATGAGGAAGAGAGAGTGCGAAGGTGTGAGCAAAAATGGGTCCTGGGTATCTGTCTCCATTCTCAAACCTGCCCAGTAGTTCAATCTGGAAAAAAGGAGTTAGTGGAGACAATAAAAAATTCAAGCTGGGTGATAGACACAGAATTTTAAATAATATAGGTACCTGAATTCCAGGATGAAGGAATTGAGACAGTTAATCTGTTAGTATTGTAGAAATGAATTATTTTGTAAATGTAGTAGCAAGCTCTTTTCAGAACTGCTTGCAAAACATAACTGAAAGGAAGTCATAACCTATGACAGTTTCTATGTATCAGGAAATGCCTAACCACAATGTATATGTGATATTTTGTAAGATTAGATTATTGAATGTAACAGCAGAAACTACTTCCTCTTCTATGTATCTTGTGTAACTTTCTGTAACCAATGTTCGTGACAAATATTGTATAAGTACAGAGCATTTTGAATACATTTGTCAGAAGATTATGGAAAGCAAAGAGTGTGTGTCTGGTTAATACGCTTCCATAAAAATCTTCCCTGAATATTCAGCTGACAATCGAGGGTTGGAGAATAGTGACCAGAGGGACCGAGTCACCAGAGTAGCAGATTTACCTTTCAGCTTGGTGTCAGAAGTGGGATTGTAGCCAAACCATTTTGGGTGATTAGTAATTCCTTGTGTCTATCTTGACGCCCTGAATCTATGATCCCCATGGTTTTGTAAGTCTACATCATTTTAGGAAAGGTTATTTAGTATATGTGTTTTATGTGACTCAGTTTTACATAAGGTCCCGTTAAATTAGTCTAGCAAGGGAACTAGACAGAGAGATATATGTATTTCTAGTAAGTGAACTAGAGAAGGTCTAATAAGAGAATTAGACAGATAAAAGGAAGTCTATAAAGTATAAAGTGTATAGACAGAGAATTTAGTATATAAGTGAATATACTACGATAGTGTGCACAGAGTTTCAGGTTCACCTTGTCCACCCTCTAATTGTCATTAGTTAAGTCTGGTTGTGAGTGTGAATAAGTGTTTGAAAGATTTGTCCTAGGAATGGGAAATTACCATGCAAGAATATGAAGTAGTTAATTTTTCTTGTTCATATGTATTTTATGCTTAAATAAGGTTTATATTCATTAGTGCTGACTGTAAGGATATGAAATAGTTAAACTATTTTTGCTTTATATGCTAGCCCTGAAAATATACTCACTGAGAATCTTGTTAAAGCACATTTGTAGTGTCCATGTCTTCATTGCAAACAATGATTCTATATCAATTGGGTGATTGTCTATATTGGGGACACACTTTGGTAAGTTAGTAGTGTGTCCACCCTGAGTCAGCAGTATGGGAAATGTGAGTTCAGGTCCTGAGTGACCAATATATATACATATATATATATATATATATATATATATATATATAAGATACCAGTACTGTATATTAGAAAAGAACTGGCTCGCAGGTTTTGCCTGATAGATCTACTTAAATCTTTTGCTTTATTCTTTCTGTCGCATAGAAGTATAAGTTTATTACTCTGTTTTATTGCAAGTTATTTCACATGGGATCTGTGTGCCTGGTATGATTGTTACTTTAATACCATAAACCCACTACACTTTCTATGAGAGTGGGATAGTGTAAATGTGTTATATTGTTTGCATGATGAGCTCAGTATTTTTATAACTGAGACAAAAAGTCACTTCATTAGTATTTGAAAGTTAATTCCCCATATGGGATTAATTGTATAGAACACCAATCAGCACATCTTCCATGCCCTGTGTGTTTGTTGCAGAGGATCCATACTGTAAATATGATTTTTGTTTGTAAATAAGAAAGCAACATTTACATTTTCAGCGGTCCAACACATGCTTTATTTTGTGCCGTAAGCTAACCTTTTTATTGCTACAGATGCTTTAAATGATTCAGCTACTGCATATGTTTTGTGTCTTCTATGTCTCACATTATATGTGTTCTGTTCTTTTAAATTGTGGTATATAGCCTGGATCAGAGATCATGGACAAAGGTTTTTACCTGTGTTACTAAGGCTCTTGGAGACTGACCGGTCTATAAATTTTTTAAGTCTCTGAGAGTTCTGTAAGATTCTGGTGAAACCATGTCTGTGTAATCTGGTCCAAATGTTTGCTCAATTTCTATAAGATTTAAGTTGATGCAGTATCATCTCAGATTAGTTAATGGAATTTTCATACAAATATTTGAGTTATGAGCGCGCTATATAAATGGATCCTTTCTCTATATACAATACTATAGTAGATTAAAGTAATGAAGTTAATAAGAATTAAAAAAAAAAAAGTAGTATACATAAGAATCCCTAAAATAAATCTAATATAAACTAAAATTGGTATACCTTACAATAATATTTTCTGAGTACAGCTGTTAACTGTTTATTCTGTGTAAATGGTGACTGTGATAATGTGTGAAGTGTGCAGCTTAACTGGAAAGTGGTTTAATTTATATGTTGCTGTGTTGTTTTAAATTATATTTGAATCAGTTTGTCTCAGTCTAGTGGTACTGATAAAAATGCCAGTCAAATAACCCAGCAAATAACTGTTTTATTAGCTGTTGAATACTAGTGTTTTGGCCAAGAGTAGTTGGAGTAGTTCTATGAGCTTAGAGAGGCTCTGTGTTGTGTTCTGATATAGCTATATGGGAATGGAGATTTGGAGGTGTTAGTTTAAGACTGCTTTCATATTGTGTCTACCCGTGTTTCCTAGGAGGGACACAGAGTGTGTAGTTGTGTACCCATGAATGTGTTTTCTGTATTGGCATATCTGATTGGCATCAGAGTGATTTGCATATCATTAACGCAAGCATTTAGTGTTTTTACAAAAGGTGAAATGCTGTCCAACCGGCTAGAATGAAACAATTGTATGCTATCGCTCCTGGAGCAAGAAGAGCACTTGTTACATCTCACGTGAAAGGGGCCCCAAAAACTTTTGCTGTTCAAATCGTGGGTCCGCGTTTCCATTTGCAAATTGATTAATCCTGAAAGTTATTCTTTTACTGATAAAAAGGATTGAATGGACAAGATGTCTCTCCCTCATAAAGGAGTTCTAATAGGGGAGTATTGTCCAGCTCAGAGTTAACTCTACTTTTAAAGGATATTGCATTGTTTATGTCAAAGTAAGATTCATCTAGTATGCCTCATTGATTATGGGGTAATAATAACATGGTATTTTTATTGGAGATTAGACAATTTCTGAAATTTATAAGTGAGGTAATTTTAATCTCCTAAACTACTGTATTATATTTGTATGGGTAAATTGAAAGCATTTTGCAGATCCAGAAGAGGATTAATAAATAATATAATAATCTCACTAGGAGACAAATTATGCAAAGAGGCTATCCAAAGTACGCACTAACGGGTTAAACTTGTTTTCTTGATAAGCGTATAACATTTAGTTTTGTGGTTAGACTTTTGATACTCAATTTGAAATATGTCCCAACTACATCCTTGCACAGCCCCAGGTACAGGAAGCAATATGTGTTTTAAAAATTTGCAAGGTCTTAGTGTTTTCAATATATTATAACAATGGAAAAGTACCTAACCGCATGTCTGCATTACGCTCATGTCACAGACTGTCAGTATTACAAGCCCTATACGAAGGCTATGCTTTCATTGTCGATGTATATACCCATAGACAACCTTGCTTTATATACACAATTTAACTATCCATTCAACCTTTAAAAGCTTATTAATATTATATCTGTGTGGTACACAAAGAGGGGGGTGTGAGTTAGGTAATCCCATCCTGCATATGGAATAAAGGCAGAGGTAGAGGATTTGGTCAAAGGGTCTAACTTTTGTAGAGGTAACAACTTCAGCATTGGTGGAACACACTGTTCTAATTGTGGATAGCAGGGTCACTGGAAAAATGAGTGCCCAAACCCACCCCCACAGATTCCTCAATACCAACCATAGCTTCCAACCTATACCCACACCCAACAACCCCAGCTTAATACACAGATGGTTCATGTTTGTAATATTTTATATAGTTTTAGGTGTTAATCCGAGAGTATTGAATTATTCGGGATTATTAAAGTAATTAATTTTGAATATCAAATCAAGGTTCCAGTTTAGGAACAGAGTTTTATTGGGAATTATCCCCATATGTATATGTTAGTGTTTTAATATTCATCCTAACATGGATTTCTATAGAGTGAGTGCTACTCTCATCCGTACAAAGGCATTCCAACGGGGTATTATGTAAAACTTCATAGAAGACAGATTGCATAAAATATAAGCAAATATAAGAGAAGTACATGTTACACAAATTAAGGGTTTAACCTTAATCAATAATTTAAGTTTTAGCCTAGGTAGTTAATTAATTGATGTTGTATTGATCCTTGTGTTTGTATGATTGTAGAGACCGTCCTGGAGTGTTTGTGCCGCCTGATTTCTGGGACTACACACCAATCTCTCTGGCTGACCATGCAATAAGTATTTTGCAATTACATCTGTTTGGTCATTATCCATGCAGGCTGAAAAAACTGAGATACTTATTTATGAGGACATAAACTTTGCACGCAAGAACCTGGAAAGTCCTGAAGGTGCAGTGCTGTCTAATACCGCTGGTTCTGTAATAACCCTTTCAACCATTGGAGTGTTGCACAGAGCTTTGTGGTGAAAATCCAGCAAACCAAAGAAGAACTATGTGGAAGCTGACATTGTCTTGTTGTCAGCCATATTGCTACCCTTAGCCATTTTTATGGAACAAAATGTCTGGTGTCTAAACTGATTTCTTTATACTCTGTGAAAGACTTATTCTATTTTTCTGAACTATGCTGAATTATTGAACTATTTTTAATTTTGTAGAGTTAGCCAGAGAGAGAGGAAGTGTTAGCTGACCCAGGGATGCATGTACAATGTGTGTTTTTGATATATGTTCAGTGTGCCAAGGATGGATTCCCATGTTTTGAGGAACTGCGTGAGGATATGACTTTTGTAATAGGGAAATGGTTAAAAGATATAGGATGCAAGGTCCTGGTTGTGCAATAATATGGTTGCTATAAGCCCAAGTTCCATTCTGTCTTAAACATCCATTTTCTATATATCTGTCTGCAAAAGTATTAAGTGTTTTTTGTTTTGTTTTTTTTCTGCTGAGTTTCTGTTTCTTGTAGACCACATGATTGCTTGGGAATGCCATAATGTGGAAATTTCTCTGTCTTGGGAGAATATTAACCGATGATATGAGCAATATATATTGCTCAAAGAGGGGTAACAATTGTGATTATTGGGGCTCAGTTGGATGGAACACCGGGACAGATTGGGGTTATAAGCCACAGAATGCATTAGATAAAAAGGATATGAATGGGAAGTCCCTCTTGACTAGAATGACCCTAACAAAGCCAGGTACATGTACCCTTATAGGGCAAACTGGGCACTCCATGAAATTTACCTTAAATATTGAAAACCCCAGTCCTGGAGATCAAGGTATTTATATTCTCAGTACCTTTTTAAGAGGAGGTATTGGAGGCAATCGAGAAAAAATCCAGTTAAAAGATATATGGAACTCCTCAAAATGGGAAAGCCTCACCTCTAGACAAACTCTTGTTAATCCTCTAAAGCCCCACATTCAAACCCTTGGTGATATGATGGCCATAGCAGATCCCACGTTTGGAGATACCATAGCGTTAGAAACAGGGTATACAGATTCAAACCTATGGCTGGAATGGATGAGATAGAATGCCCATTCCAACAATAGGTCAAACTGTTATGTATGTGGTAGTGCCAGACCTCATCTAGGAACTGTACCTTTATATGTCCCTGATGAGTACTGGGAATGTTTCCTAAGTTAGTTTTCAGGTATCACTGTTAATACTACAGGATGTGAAGAATGGAAAAAGGGTCACCCTATTGGTGAAACCAAATTTAAATTAAATGATGTTGTCTCAGTATACCCATGTAATTATGCTTGTCCATCATATGCTATGGCCATCATATCACCAAGGGTTTTCAGGGAAATAATAATGGTAAGGTGGGTAAACCATTTGATAACTTTTCTTCAGGATTCTGCTCCGCCTACAGTAATATTACCTTAGTGAATCAAACACAATCTGTGGGAGATGTTTATTGAATATGTGGAGATATGAAAATACGTTCTAGACTCCCCACCCCCTGGAGAGGAGAATGTGCCCCAGCCAAAATAATCATGCTCCTCCATATATTTGGCGACTCTCTCCCTGAAATTAAGGCTGTAACTGATTCCACAAGAAGGAAAAGGGAATCCCCACAAGGTAGTTTCGACCCACATATCTATCTAGATGCCATTGGTATTCCAAGAGGGGTCCCTAATGAATTTAAAGCCACAGACGAGGTGGCAGCAGGATTTGAATCAATATTTCTCATTATAACAGCTTACAAGAATGTTAACTGGATTAATTATATATATTATAATCGGCAAAGATTTGTAAATTATACACGAGATGCATTACAAGGTCTTGCTGAACAATTACAGGCTACCTCACAAATGACTTTCCAGAATAGAATGGCCCTTGATATGATTTTAGCAGAAAAGGGAGGAGTCTGTAAATTACTTGACTCCGGTGTTTGTTGTACCTATATTCCAGAGAACACTGGCCCTAATGGTAAAGTAACCCTAGCTATAAAGAAATTGGAAGACCTGTCCATAGAAATGAAGAGGAATTCAGGTATTGATCACCCATGGGCAGATATGTTTAAGTTTGACAGTATCCTAGACTGGCTAAAGAATATTGCAATAATTATTGTTATGGTTCTGATCCTTGCTCTACTTGTTTATGCTATTTTCAAGATTATTGTATTCTGCATTTACAAACATACATGCAACAATGTTCCTGTAAAATCCCCAGCTTGCTATGATGAGTATCTCCAAATGTATACACATAACCGAAGCAATGGTGAACATGCTGATACAGATCTATAAGTTTGTGGTACTGGTCAGATGCCTAGTCCTATGCTATGGGAATAGTGGCCGAAGACATAATGAAAGACCTGCAGGATTGGCTAGAAATCCTGAATATACCATGGCAGATGGCTGGTTGTCTGACCAGGACTCCTTAAATAGGGTATGAGCAAGATATTGCTCAAAGAGGGGAAAATGAAGGAATTGAGACAGTTAATCTGTTAGTATTGTAGAAATTAATTATTTTGTAAATGTAGTAGCAAGCTCTTTTCAGAACTGCTTGCAAAACATAACTGAAAGGAAGTCACAAGCTATGACAGTTTCTATGTATCCGGAAATGCCTAACCACAATGTATATGTGATATTTTGTAAGATTAGATTATTGAATGTAACAGCAGAAACTACTTCCTCTTCTATGTATCTTGTGTAACTTTCTGTAACCAATGTTAGTGACAAATATTGTATAAGTACAGAGCATTTTGAATACATTTGTCAGAAGATTATGGAAAGCAAAGAGTGTGTGTCTGGTTAATACGCTTCCATAAAAATCTTCCCTGAATATTCAGCTGACAATCGAGGGTTGGAGAATAGTGACCAGAGGGACCGAGTCACCAGAGTAGTAGATTTACCTTTCACAGGAGAGGTTAATTCCTGAATTCCTGTAGCTGTTTAAACATAAAGTTAAGTGGAACTGTTGGAATGATGAGGAATCCCACACTTACACTTGTTTTCCTGGCACTATAGTGCCCTGAGGGTACCCCCACCCTCAGGGACCCCCTCCCGCCGGGCTCTGGGGAGAGGAAGGGGTTAAACTTACCTCATTCTCCAGTGCCGGGCAGGGAGCTCTCCTCTCCTCCCTCTTCTCCTCCTCTTTGGCTGAATGCGCATGCGCGGCAGGAGCCGCGCACGCATTCAGCCAGTCCATAGGAAAGCATTATCAATTATCAATGCTTTCCTATGGACGCTGGCGTCTTCTCACTGTGATTTTCACAGTGAGAAGCACGCAAGCGCCTCTAGCGGCTGTCAAGAGACAGCCACTGGAGGCTGGATTAACGCTAACAGAGAAACTGCTATGTTTATAAAAAAAAGGGTTAACTCTAGCTGGACCAGGCACCCAGACCACTTCATTAAGCTGAAGTGGTGTGGGTGTCTATAGTGGTCCTTTAACTAGTGCAATGCACAAAATTATTTAGCTGTGCTCCCTGTATACTAAAAAAAATGATCAGCATTGTCTGATCATATATTATATACCAACTCCTTGAGATACAAAAACAGACTCTGGAACTGCAACCAGTGAGTATAGAATCTAAAAGAAAAATGTCCTGCATTTGTCAATAGGTAAAACAGTTTCCCGGGTATATTGAGATCTCTAGAAAAGTAAATAACTCGAGGAGAACTCATCAAGTTCAATATAAATTGCGCAAACAAATATACCCCCAATAGTGGGATGTAGTTTTAAAAGTAAAATGTAATGAAAGATTTTTTTAAAATAAAATGTCACTTGATCCTGGATGTAACCATAAAAAAAAAAGAATGTACATAAGGTTTATGTTTGAGATGCAGCTCCTTTAATAGAAAGTATCCCTACACTTTCTGTATATAATGTAATCAATAAAAGAGTTTTGAAAGGAGCGCAAACATCATACAAGATTACTGTATTTAAAAGAAAAACATTTTATTTTTTAGATTGAACATACAATATCAATTAAATTACTATATATTAATTCAGTATTATAACGCAGCACTTAAAAGTACTACCTAGTTGTATTTAGTTTAGTGTGCACACTAATTATTTGCAATAAAAAAGCCAAAAAAATGAAAAAGCTTGAATAAAAACCAACATATAAGTTGGAGATAGGAAAATTGCAATAAAAATGTATTAAACTGTGAAAAACATATACTTGGGAAGTATAGAGTGAATGTGCAAAAAAAGTCCGACCTGATAATATGGAGGAGAGCTCTCTGTTCATTGTAGTAGTAAGCTCTGGGTTATGAGGATGCAGCTGCATCACATGTAGACAGCCTTGGAGTGGTTAAAATTCTGTCGGCCGCGATAGTATTCACTTGCCTGGTGTAAATATATATCCTGGGAATCTGATGGTAAGTAGACTCCTGGGTGGTCAGTCAGGGGCTAGGGAAAACTTAATCCCTTAAGGACCAAACTTCTGGAATAAAAGGAAATCGTGACATGTCACACATGTCATGTGTCCTTACGGGTTTAAACTCCAGATAGCTTGTGTCAAGCTGGGGGTTTCTCTCCGTCCGAGCTGCTGTCAAATGCCGGGTATGTCAGGAAAGAGTAGAATATGGGATGCTAGAGAAGGATTCTTTTATATAGGTTTTTGTCCTAATTGGTTAAATACTTTCATTATACAATTGGTGTATCAGTCCTCTATTATGACTACATAGATGGAATGGATACACAGTATTTTGTTATAAATTCACAACCTTATCAATTATGTTTTACATATTGTTTGAGATGTTGGATTAATATACAACCTAAAATATAACAAAATAAGTGAAAGTATATATGCATCAAAGATTATATATAGAGCATGTAAAATGATTTTCCTGCATGCATAAGTGGTTAAAAAAGTACTAGATACATATCTATAATTGTTAATGATTTTTCTAATTCTAACTAGTTCTTTATTATTTTTTGTTTTCTATTTACAAGTGTACTGACATTATCAGAGGGTAAGGAATAATACCCAGATTCTATATTTCCAAATTATGGACTATTAAAAGTAGAAACGGTGTAAATGTCTCAATATAAAAATGAAAAACGGGAAAAAATAGAACAATATCCATAAGATGAAGCCCCCCAAAAATTGGGCAATGTTTCATTACATATATTTGTGTCAGAAGGTAATTAGTGTACAATATAGAAGTTAGTGTCAATGAAAGGCTGCTAGATCCAAATCTTTATTCAGTCCACCATTGTAAAGTGTACCTAGTGTGAAAATCCAAGGATTCTCTCTGTCTAAGTATTTTCAATTTGTCGCCACCTCTTTTGGTTGGTTTAATCACTTCTATTCCTTCTATCACCAGATCTTTAGGATATCCATTGTGTGTTTCTAGAAAGCGCATAGAGACTCCATGGTTAGTGCATTTTTTTCTGTTTGCCCTTCTGTGTTCACTTATTCTTGATTTTAGTTTTCGGCATGTTCGGCCCACATATTGTCTGCCATTGGGCATTCTGTGAGATATACCACATAGGACGTATTACAGTTGATAAATCCATTGATTTCATATTGTTTGTCTTGATTATTGTGATTGGAGGAGAAGTGGTTACTTCTAGGTTCAATAAAGGAGCAAGTCACACAATTCTTTCTCCCGCACTTGTACGTGCCTTTCAATGGTATACTTCTAAAAGGTGTATTTGAACATTCTTGATTCCTGTATGGTAAGGTGGGTGCCACTATATTTTGGATGGTTTGGTTTTTCTTGAACACTACTTTGGGTTTAGTATCTTTGGTACACATAATCTTATCTTGATTTATTATGGGCCAGTGTTTCCATTTAATATTTTTAATATCATCGGCAGCAGAGTTGTATCTAATAAATAAAATGTTTTTCTTTTAAATACAGTAATCTTGTATGATGTTTGCGCTCCTTTCAAAACTATTTTATTGATGATATTGAGATCTCTACTGCAAGGTGAGCAATGTTTTGACCTAACAAGGTCTTTCTCAAGTTCAAAGTAAAAGATCGACACATGGGGGATGGGGGGATTGAGACATATGAAAAGTACTGGGGGAAATTGAGACACATGGAAGGGATGGGGGGTATGTGACATATGGAAGGGACTGGGGTGGAATTGAGACACATGAAAAGTACTGGGGGCACTTTAGACACATGGAATGGATGGGGAGGAATGAGACACATGAAGGGACTAGGGGGGAATAGACACATAGACAGACGGATTAAAAGACATGGATAGAATGGGAGAAAATTGACACATGGAAGGGACTAGTATGTTAGAGACACATGAAAGGGACTGGGAGGGTGGACTTAAGACATGGAAGGGGGGAATGAGACACATGGAGGGGCTGGGGGGAATTTTTGCACTAGGGCCTGGTGGTTTCTAGGTTTGTCCTACCTCTTTTAAGAATGAATCCTCCCAGGCAGTCTGACCTCTTGCCTGACAAACCAGAGAGTTATTACTATTATAGAGATTATTATCATTGTAGAGATTATAAAGATTGGTATTTAGAATACTATCACAATGTTTAGTGGAGGAAATAGCGACTTCCTTTACATCTCTCTATACTATCCCTTAGTTTTTTTTTTACTTTGCTCAGTGTAAAACACTACAATTCACTGCTGTGACAGAGAAAAACATAAGTATTGTTCCAAAGGTTCATTTGTACGCTTGGCATCCCCATTAGATTGTGGATTATAAGCAGATTTGAAGGACAGAGTGATATCCATGTCCGAACAGAAATGTCGCCAGAAGCTAAAGAAGCCAGTATAAATGGAAAACATCCATCATTCAGTGATTAATAGAATAAATATAATATGCCATACAACTTATTATTCAAAAGATTAACATGTTGCTTGCTAACCACCTCCTGCTTAATATAACACACTGTCAAATTCTTTTTTTGTTTTTAGTAAATCCATTAAAACCAGGAGAAACCTCATCCTCGTGGACTCTCGGCTTCATCCTCACAATTTGATTCCTTGTGTTCTGCATCTTTATCCTGTGTGGGATTCTGGGCTATAGAAATGTTAGGAGTAAGTACACATTAACTACTTTCATTTAGAACATCTATGTGAGTCTTGTGAGTCTTGCATTTTTTGTATATATTTCAAATTTAAACATTTTAAAATACCAATGCAATACACATTTTATGAAAGGTAACACCAGCTATATTTGAATATATACTGAATCTAATGTTTTGCATATTTTATAAAGTCATACTCTTTATGATGTATATGGAGAATGCAAAATGCAACTTTTTTCAAAAATGTATTCATTTAAAACAATATGTTTTACAATCATAGTGTCCTTTAATTCTATATGTAGGTTCAGGTAAAATAAAATCAAGAAGGTTTTCTATATAAAATGCATTTTTAAAGTTACAATTGATAGATAAATTCAGTTTCAGAATAAAAGATAAATTCCCTTTTCGGAATTATTATAATTAATAATATTAACCCCTTAAGACCGGAGGGCGTACTATTACGCCCTATTTTAGGTGGCTCTAAACGCCGCCAGGCGTAATACTACGCCCTCCGGTCTTTCCTTACTTATTACTCCCAGGGAGCCCCCCCGCAGCAGATCCTCCTCCTCCGGTGCCCCCCGGCCATGTGAGAGTGAGGTCCTTGCGAGGACCTCACAGTCACATGGCCGAGATAGCTGCCTTCTGCATTGCCAGCAGGGGGACTGCCTGTAATGACAGTTAGTCCCCCGCTGGCTGAAAATAAAATAAATAAATGTTAAAAGTGTAAAAACAATAATAATATATACTTAGATCATATATATGATCTAAGTATATATATATACACATATACATACACACACGTACACTGTATAGGTGTATTTTACTATTAATATATATAATTATATATATGTATATTAATATCAAATTACACGTAGACTGATACTGATTAAATATATATATATGTTCTGTTCTACTCGGGGGACTTCGCTGAACACAAATATTAGTGTTTCAAAACAGTAAAATTTATTACAACGATGAGATCACCAGTAAAAGTGACGTTTTTTGCATTTTTCACGCACAAACAGCATTTACACGGACGATATTATTGCTGCGATACTTTTTACTGTTTTGAAACACAAATATTTGTGTTCAGCGAAGTCTTCCGAGTACAACAGTACCCCTCATGTACAGGTTTTATGGTGTTTTCAAAAGTTACAGCGTCAAATATCACTTTTTGTCCAAATCTTTATAATTTATAGATGGTGCAATATAGGATAGCTTTCAGGTCAGCCCACAGTCACCAGATCAGTTACATTGTTACATGATCACTCTTTGTATAGGTGGGTACAAAATTATACATAGTCTTTTCTTCTAAACACTAATTAACTCCTTGAGGGCACACAACGGAAATATTCCATCATGATTCCCTTTTATTTCAGTTGTGCCCGTAAGGGGTTAGCAATGTAAAATAAGTAAATATATTAAAATATATCTTAATAAGATTTGACTGATGAATGGAAGGTTCTGTGAGATCAGCTTACTAATGTGATGTCTGTCGTCTTTTCAGATGGTATCAAATCCACTGACTAACTCTTAAGAACTGAAAACAGAAGTGGAAGAAATAGAGACAAAATTGTTTGGGGGAGCTGGGAGATTTATTTTCCATGTTTATATATTCAATTCATGCAGCTAAAAGGGGACTGAATACTTAGTGGTGAAAAATGTAGTAATGTGTTAAGTCTTGTGGACCCAGGACAATGAGCACCATGCCAGTATTACTTTGATATCATACAAGTTCATATGTAATTTGAGGAACTCAACAAAACTCGATTTGTTTTTAACCCTGATGCTGCAAAGGCAAAAATAGAATCAAAATGATGACCAAGCCAAAGTAGTTATTAAAGAAAAATGCAATTGTACTGCTTTTTTTTCATTATATGGTGGTGGGATGCAAGAGGAGAAAGTAAATAAAACAAAGTATATGAGACAAATGAAATAAGTACACTGCCCTTCACATCATCACATGTGTGCAAGTAGTGGGGATATGTGCAGTGCCCTCCATATCGACCCCTTTATTCCCAATAACACAACATGAAACGCAACTTGTGAATAGGCCACAGCTTTTATTAAAATGATTCACCAATCAATATTGACAATATTAACTTGATATACACAACATAACTACAAAAAACAATTATAATTAACATCAGAACTCTCCTGGCCGCTTGCCCTCCCTACTCATTCCCACCAACACTGGCCACAAAACCTGGCATTCCACCAACATCATGCTAACCATTATCTTTTGTCTCAGTGGGCACTTCCGTACTTCCCATACCTTAATTTAACCGAGGAGGGATCAGCCCTGATTTCATTCATTCCCATTGGACTCCCCAATCCAACCCATGATTGGCAAGGACAACCATCCACCACAAGACCCCATTCTTTTAACCCCTAAAACCAGTGGGGGGGAGCACCCAGAAAAGCCATGGTCTGTTACAATCCTTCCAAGTTAAAATTGTCCAACCCCACGTCTGTGAGGTGCACTCCATCACTCCAAAAGTACATAGCTGAAAGACACAATGCTGGACTGTAAATCCCGCTACCCCAATACAATTTTAGAGACTCGTCTGTTAAGCTTGACCTATCCATGGCCCTCTGATCACTGACAAACCTCCAGAAGTTGCGAGACACTAAAATTCCAACCACACCAGACAGAGATCAGGGAACAGAACATACACTCTGGCCAAGTCCTTTAAAATAAAATCCCTGAATATGGTACTCGTGCCCAGGTCATTGCTCCCCATATGTATGACCAACAAGTCAGGCACTCCAAGGAGATGGGACAACCGGAACAGCTCTGGAACCAGCTGCACCCAACACATGCCCCATGCAGCAGCACAGTCAGATGAACCCCTTCAGAATGAAATGCGTGCTCAAAAGCTAACTATTCAGACCAAGCCATACTGGGACCATATAGCTTCTGAAACCAATGCCCAAATCCAAGCTTTCCACGCTCTGCCCAAGGAACCACAGTTACGGCGGCAGAGGAACCCCATCTGCATCTGCCCCGGGTGCAGCAGCACTAAACTTCCACAACTGTAAACGAGAGAGGACATCCGCTATAAAATATTTGGCCTCAGGAATATGCACCGCCCTGCAAGCAACATTCAAGGACAGACAGCACAACACTAAGCACAGCAGCAGCCAAACCACTAGAGGAGATGATGCCGAGAGGCTATTAATGGTGGAAACCACCCCATGTTATTGCAATCAAAGGAAACCCTGTGGTCACGCAGCAACAGCCCCCACAGTTCCAAGGTCACCACTATGGGAAACAGTTTGAGTAATGCCAAATTCCACATCAGGCCTGACATGTGGCAGGAATACGGCCACGTATACGCACACCAGTTAGTGGCCACATTAGCCATAAAACCCACCGATCCTGCCGCATCAGTGATTAAATGCATGCAGCTCTGCTTTGGACACATCAGGTATCTGCCAATAAGAATGGCCATTGAACCCAACAAGGAAGGTATCCCGGACAGAGGAGTCAGACAAAATGGTAAGGCCTGGCGATGCCGAACATAGCGGCAGCCAGGTGTCGGTTAAACATTCTGCTCATGGGCAGACAAAATTGAACTTACCCAGCAATGCCTGCAGCTGACATAACTGTATCTTCCGCATAGCCAGTGCATCGCCACCCAAGCATGCATATCCTCCACCTTATTCACCATGAGCTGACATTCCCACGTCACCGAGTCAATATCAATTCCGAGAAAATTCAAGAACGTCGTCGGGCCCACCGTCTTGTCCAG